ACACTCGCGATCTGCGCCTCGTTGCCTCCGTTCCGGGGTCGTAAACGGATGTTTTCTTGCGGAGCCTCCGATCTCCACTTGGCAAACGCTTTGCGTTTATTAATTAGCGTCTCATAAGCTGGTTATGGTTTTTAATTAAAGTGTGTCTGCCTGGAAGATGGAGGGGGGAGGTAGCAGAGGGGGGGGAGGTGTCCGGGGGAAGGGGGTGAACAAGAGGAAAGCTTGCCGTCGCCCAGGCAGATGTGGGTGCGTTCGATCTGCCGCTCGCATCTGCAAGGGGGTCGGCACCACCTCTGTCGGGCAAAGATACCTTGACAGAGGCGCACCTGTTTTCTCGATAGCTAGGAGGCTGGCGTTTCTCCATGCATTGAAAGGAGTGAGGAAAAAGGAGCAGAAACAGTTTCTGATAGCGCTGAAAGGTGCAATGGCTACCAGCCCTGATGAGTATTGTTCTGCCTCCGTTAGCCAGAGGCAGTAAATGCCCTCAAAATGCCAAGTGCTAGAAATCACAGGTGGCGAGGGTTGCTGTTGAGCTCAGGTGCTGCTTTGCGGTTTCCCATTTAGGCATCTGATTGATCAGCTCTGGAGGGCAGGACTCAAACCAGGGTGGATAAAAATCAATGATTTTTAAAAATAATAATCATCAAAAAAATCAATTTTTAATTTAAATCAGATTTTTTTTAATTTAAATTGGATTTTTAAAATAAAATGCTTTTGGAGGAAAAATCTTTCTAAAGGTAGTTTTCTATTTAAGTTGCATTATAGTCCAAAGGCTATTCATCAGGAAATAAGGATTTGTTGTAAGTTTTTCATGTGTGCTAAAACTCAGTCTATGTTTTTTAAAAAAACAAAAAAAGTTGAACCACATCAGTTAACAAACATGGATACATACGCTGTAATGTTATTGCTTTAGTCAAATAAATTGTTTAAACTGTTATTAAGGAAAAGATTGTTTTCCTCCTTCCAATAAAAGCACAGCAGAAAAGATGTCCAAATATAAACGGTTAACTTATTAAACCTCACAAGAATTTCATAATTATCGGACTACGTATTTCTAATAGTATAACCAAATCAGTAATTTTTGATGTAACTGTAAAAACTACTCTGAAAATTTATTATTCCTAAATTGAAACCTTCATCTGCAAGAATGAATATTTCTGCTAAGAAAAAATGATTTAAATCAAGTCTTACTGACTAGTGATTTAAATCGTGATTTAAATCGATTTGATTTAAATCAAATCCACCCTGATTTGAACCTATCGCTTCAAGTTACAAGGAGATGCTAACTAAACATCGGGAATATCTTTCGGACAGTAAGAGCATTTCGACAGTGGAGAGAGTTTGTGGACTCTCCTTCCTTGGAAGTTTTTAAGCAGAGGTTGGGTAGCCATTTGCCATGGATGCTTTAGCTGAGATTCCTGCATTGCAGTGGGTTGGGGGCCAGAAAGCCCTTGGGGTCCCAACTCTACAATTCTATGAATCTATGATTCTATGGTGGGACGCGGGTGGAGCTGTAGGACTTGCCGATCAGAAGGTCAGCGGTTCAAATCCCCATGACGGGGTGAGCTCCCGTTGCTCGGTCCCTGCTCCTGCCAACCTAGCAGTTCAAAAGCATCTCAAAGTTCAAGTAGATAAATAGGTACCACTCCAGCGGGAAGGTAAACGGCGTTTCCGTGCGCTGCTCTGGTTCACCAGAAGCGGCTTAGTCCTGCTGGCCACATGACCCAGAAGCTGTACACTGGCTCCCTCGGCCAATAAATCGAGATGAGCGCTGCAACCCCAGAGTCGGCCACGACTGGACCTAATGGTCAGGGGTCCCTTTACCTTTATAATAATAATAATAATGATTTATTTGTACCCTGCCCATCTGGCTGGATTTCTCCAGCCACTCTGGGTGGCTTCCAACAAAGATTAAAAATACATTAAAATGTCACACATTAAAAACTTCCCTGAACAGGGCTGCCTTCAGAGGTGTTGTAAATGTCAGGTAGTTGTTTATCTCTTTGACATCTGATGGGAGGGCGTTCCACAGGGCGGGTGCCACTACCGAGAAGGCCCTCTGCCCAGTTCCCTGTAACTTGGCCTCTCGCAGTGAGGGAACCGCCAGAAGGCCCTCAGCGCTGGACCTGAGTCTCAGGGCAGAACGATGGGGGTGGAGACACTCCTTCAGATATACTGGGCCGAGGCCGTTTAGGGCTTTAGCACCACCACTTTGAATTGTACTCGGAAACGTACTGGGAGCCAATGTAGGTTTTTCAAGACCGTGTTATACGGTCTCGGCGGCTTCTCCCAGTCACCAGTCTAGCTGCCGCATTCTGGATTAGTTGTAGTTTCCGGGTCACCTTCAAAGGTAGCCCCATTCCAGCTGACCCATCGCTCTAAATTATCATAGATTCACAGAACTGCAGGGTTGGAAGGGACCAGGGGGTCATCTAGTCCAACCCCATGCAATGCAGGAATCTCAGCTAAATCATACGTGACAAATGGCCCTGGGGAAGCAGATTCCATTGCTCAGCTTTGCATTGTGTACAGAAGTACCGCCTTTCTGGAGATAGTTTGCTGCAGTGGTTAGAGTGTCAGACTAGGACCTGGGAGATCAGGGTTCAAGTCCCCACTAGGCCATTAAGCAGCTCGCTCAATCGGTTGACTACTAGAAGCTTGATCTGTTTTTAAGGAAAGCGGCAGAGCTCAGTGGCAGAGGTATATAACTAACATCCTATCAAATTCTTGTGGACATCCCCCTATCCACTCCCTAATTACACAGCCCTTTTTATACGCCCCCGACAACTAAAATCCTCAAACTTTTTAGCCTTTCCTCATCGGGGAAAGTATTCTAACTCCTTGATCTTTTGAGGGTTGGCTTTTTCTGACCGAGGCTTCCCCTGCTGTGTGTTTTCAGTCTTAAAAAATGGATAATGAAACGCTCTCCGTAAACAGAGAAGACCTCAAAAACAGCAAATCAAAGCGGCTTTGGAGCAAACAAAGGATGACCCTAACCCGGCATGCAAACACACAGAGAGACAGAGGCATGCACAGGTGACATTGCCCTGCGCCTGTGACGTCCGACGTGCCTGGTGAAATCAGAGTGAACTGACCCAAACGAGAGAGAGAGAGAGAGAGAGAGAATATTCTCTGTTCATCAAACATTTACAGGGAATGAGAATTTAAAGCAGGCAGCTGACAGGCTTCAGTGGCCGTAAAACAGCCACCCTCCCTGCCATCAGAGAGAACTGACAGCGAATCAATAGGAAATTACAGAGCACTCAAATTGGAGGTTTTGTCTCCAGACCTAAACTTGAATCCCAGACCCTGCATTTTAAAAGCCAGTTAGCATAAAGATTTTACTTCATTTTGACGGTGGGTGGGGTTTGGAGTGAAGGTACAGAGGAAGGTTCCCCTCTCCCTGCCCCTACCCCCCCCCCAATCTCTTTTGCCATCTGCCAGAAATAAAAAGAGATTTTAAATGAATCAAAAAGCACAAATTGCAGGGGAAACCTCCCCACGCACCCAGAAATGAACCTCAGAGAGCACGGGTGCACAAACCCATTTTATGATTGGGGCGAGTTTTGGGGGTGCGGGGAAGAGACGGACGACAAGTTCTCAAAGGGGAAAGGTTGCAGCGGACCAACCGAGCGACTGCTTTGAATGCAGAAAGTCCCCGCTGGCAGCATCTTTAGGTAGGGCTGAGCTAGGACACACACGCACCCCTGCTGCATGCCTGAAACACTGGAGAGTCATTGCTGCCAGTCAGTGCAGACCAGTAATTCCCAAACTTGGGTTGCCAGCTGTTTTTGGACTACAACTCCCATCATCCTTAGCTAGCAGGGATGATGGGAATTGTAGTCCAAAAACAGCTGGAGACCCATGTTTGGGAAATACTGGTGTAGACACTACGGAGCTAGATGGACCCTTGGTTGGACTCAGCTTCCTACATTCCTTGTTTGAATCAACCCTTTATTCTATGTACAATGAGGACTAGAAGCTTGCTTTGGTTTTAAGGAGAGGACCAGTCAGATTCCTCCAGGAAACCCACCAGCTAGGCATGACGGCCACAGCTCCTCTCTCACTGTTGTTCATAAGAAGGGGCCTGCTGCCCCACACCCTGCTCTCACAGGGGCTGAACGCACCTAAGAACCTAGGAACCTAGATAGACTGCCCCTGGACCTGGAGGCTCCATAAGCAGCCTGGTGGATCAAGCCAGTGGCCCGCCTAGTCCAGCATCCTGGTCTTATGGTAGCCAAGCAATGCCCCAAGGGGAAGTCCGTAAGCAGGACCCAAACACAAGAGCCCTTTCCCCTCCTGTGGTTTCCTGAGACCGCCATTCAGAAGCATCCTGCAACAATGGGGAACCCATAGCTGTCAACTTACAGATTTGAAAATAAGGGACCAGCAGCCTTGGAAATAAGGGCTCAGCAGCCAAAATAAGGGATTTTCAGAGCACAGGTATGTTCAGCTTCTGAGCCCCTCTGAGCCAAAGGCAGAAAGCCCAGCCAGCAGCCAAACGAAGCCTCAAGCGGTGGTTTCCACAGCGCAGCAACCCAGCAAAGGGGATGCAGCAAGGAAAACCACCGGCACCTCTCTGCTGGGAAGCGCTGAGCAAAGGCATGTCCCCAGGCAACATGGCCGATTTGATCGGCACAAGGCATGCAAGCTCCACCCCCCAGTCGTTCTTAGACTCCTTATTGAGTGAGCAATGCAGCCAAGCAACACATTTGGAGCCTCCCTCCTCCCTGGCCAGCAGGGAGGGAGGGAGAGGAGCTGCTTCCTTTGAAACCCGGGAAATTTAAAGGTCATCATCAATAAGGAACAGCAGCGGGACACAGCGCTGGGATAAGGGACTTTCCCACCAAATAAGGGACGGTTGACAGCTATGGGGGAACATGGTAGCCATTGATTGCCTCCTCCTCCTCGGTGAATCTGCCTTGCCCTCTTCTAAAGCCACCTGAGGACCAAGCCAGGGTCTTTCCCAACTCGCTATTTCCACGGGCGCCAATGCTCACCGCTGGTTCTCGCATAAGCAGCCACTGTTCCATCCTGCAGGCCGGCAAAGAGGTAGTCCGGGCTGTGCTTCAAGCAGAGGACCGGCTGGAGCCCCGGGCTCTTGCCCGTCAAGAGGCACTGCGTCCCCATGTCCACGCTTCCATAGACCAGGATGCTGGAGGCAGAAAGAACAGAGCTCCGTTTAGAGTGCGGAGAGAGGATGGAGATTAACACAGGAAAACTGAAACAGAGGGAGTGACCCCTGGTGGGTGATCAGAGAGGTGCAGGAGAAGGCCTTGTGCGTGTTTCGCACACACAATCATGTAAGGCGAGAAAACCCTGGCGTTCAAATCTCCAACAGCAAACCTGTTAAGAGTTTTAATCTGTGTTGTAATAATGTTATACTTGTAAAATCAAATACAAATTATTTCAAAGAGAGAGAGAGAGAGAGAGAGTTTTAATCTGCTTTTAGTCTATTTGAACCTTTTTGAAAGTCTTAGGTTATTCTTCTTACGGGTAATTTTACCGTTTGGTCCCTTTTGAAAAAACCACACCGGGAGTTGTTGTTTTTTTCAAACAGTATAAGATTTTGACAAAATAAATTAACTTTAAAAATTCAATGAGACCGGCTAATGTTAACGATTTTATCATTTGCCGGGGGGGGGGGGCAAGCCCTTTGCGAAAAGCCAAAAATCACCACCAGCAATGCAATTTTAAAGTTTTTCAAAACAAGTGCAATTCATAATCAACTAAAGAATTCTGCCTCCCCCCCAAGAAAAACACACAGTCCAACCCAGCCTAAGCAAACTGCCAACAATTTGCTGTGCCACCTCTGCAGCCTGAGTCCCATCACCCTCTCAAGGTCACTGGTGGGGCAGAAAGCAGGGAGCCCAACAGTAGATGGCGCTAGAGCAAAGGAGAGGCAGAGCCAACTAATACTCATTTTGTCCCCATCCTCTTCCCTGCTGGCTTTTGCAAGGGGCATCCCTAAGGAGAAAGCTGGCAGGCAAGGTCATACCCTGGTCTGGGTGTAAGTAAGAAGGCAGGGAGGTTGGGGCTGGCTGGGGCTAATGGGTAAGGGCCCCACTTGTGCTAACAGACCAGCCAACACTGAGAAACAAAAGAGAAGTTTGTTGGCGCAAAAATGGAAGCAAGAAGAACTACCGACGAAAGAAGAATGGAGGATGAAGTTGATGGACTATGCAGAATTAGATAAATTAACAGGAAGGATTCGAAACCTGTGGAATCAGAGATTCTTAAAGGTAAAGGGACCCCTGACCATTAGGTCCAGTTGTGGCCAACTCTGGGGTTGCAGCGCTCATCTTGCTTTATTGGCCGAGGGAGCCGGCATACAGCTTCTGGATCATGTGGCCAGCATGACTAAGCCGCTTCTGGTGAACCAGAGCAGCGCACGGAAATGCCGTTTACCGTATTTTTCGCTCTATAACACGCAGATTTTTTCTCCTAAAAAGGAAGGGGAAATGTCTGTGCGTGTTATAGAGCGAATGTGTGGTCCCTGGAGCCAAAAAATCAAGCAAAAGTCAAACCGCGAGTCACGGAGAAGGGAAACCTGAAAAGAGGAAGTGGCAGCTTTCCTGCATTCTGCCTCAGGGTCTTACTGCCCACCCTCCTCTGTTTCGTTGCTGTGATTGCTGAAACGGAACAAAGAGCAGGGAAAGCCCCTCCCCTCCAGGCAAGCAGAGGGGAAAGTGTCGTCTCTGTGCTCCGGTACTGCTGGGGGAGAGGGAGAGAGAGTGGGGGAGGGAGAGGGAGAGTGGGGGAGGGAGAGGGAGAAAGAGGGGGGGAGGGAGAGAGAGGGAGAGAGAGAGAGAGAGAGAGAGAGAGAGAGAGAGAGAGAGAGAGAGAGAGAGAGAGATGGCTGGCTTGGGGGGGAACTTTTGCCTTTCTTTCCTCCCACTGGTTAAATCCCTCTCCAGCATTCTTAGCCAGCTGCTTCTCTGCCCTCTCATGTCCCTTCTTTGTTTTTCCTTCGCTCCCCACTTAAAATGTGGTTAAAAAGCATGGATCCACATGGATCCTCAGGATCTTTGCATTGGGTCACCCCAAATTCACCATCAGATCACATAGCATGTCCATGGCTACAGCCTGCACCAAAAAAAGCACACACCCACTGTTGCCTGGGGCTGCAATGGTGCAAAAATGTGGTTACAAAGCATGGATCCACAGGGATTCTCAGGATCTTTGCATTGGGTCACCCCAAATTCACCATCAGATCACATGTCTGTGGCCACAGCATGAAGCACAAAAATGATACATCCACTGTTTCATTCAGAATGTTTTTTCCCTTGTTTTCCTCCTCTAAAAACGATGTGCGTGTTATGGTCAGGTGCGTGTTATAGAGCGAAAAATACGGTACCTTCCCGCCAGAGCAGTACCTATTTATCTACTTGCACTTTGACGTGCTTTCGAACTGCTAGGTGGGCAGGAGCAGGGACCGAGCAATGGGAGCTCACCCCGTCGTAGGGATTCGAACCGCCAACCTTCTGATCGGCAAGTCCTAGGCTCTGTGGTTTAACCCACAATGCCACCCATGCCCCTCAGAGATTCTTAGAATACTGGATCAAATATATGAACTATTTGAACAGTAATTATGATGAACAGATTATGCTAGTAGGACTGCAAGAAGTTTTGTTAGGTAGATTATTTGAAATATTGCAAGAAAGACTATGAAGAGATGTATTAGTTAAGGACAATGAAATGTAATATAGAAATTAAGAAATGCTTAATAAGTGATGAAGAACAGAAAATCATCAGAGGTGTTGATGGAAGTCTAAAAAAGTATTGTATAAGATGAGAAGTTTTGTTGTATGACTGTTGGAACTGATATGTTAAATCAATAAAAATGTATATACAGTGGTACCTCTGGCTACGTACTTAATTCGTTCCAGAGGTCTGTTCGTAACCTGAAACTGTTCTTAACCTGAAGCACCACTTTAGCTAATGGGGCCTCCCACTGCTGCCGCACGATTTCTGTTCTCATCCTGAAGCAAAGTTCTTAACCTGAGGTACTATTTCTGGGTTAGCGGCATCTGTAACCTGAAGCGTATGTAACCTGAAGTGTATGTAACCCGAGGTACCACTGTATATAAAAAAAAAGAGAAACAAAAGAGAAGGATTATGGGGCAGAGCCAGCCTGAATGAGGCTCCGTTGCGTCTCCCTGCCAGAAATCGCATACACGCTTCCTCACCTGCCGTCCTGCAGCCCAAGACAGATCACTGGCTGTGGCGGCAAGGCCTGGTCAGCAGACGTCTCCAAACCGTCGGCTCTCTCCTCTTCGCTCCTCTCGGGAATGTATTCTGAGCAGAGGACCTGGGCGGAAACCGGAAAGGACTTCACAGTGCGGGGCGCTGCCCGGTTCAGGGAAAAGATGTCGACCTGGCCGCCAGACCCCTCCTGCCCTCCGCCGACCTAGAGGAGTCGAGAAGAAGAGGAAGGGAAAAGGAATTCTCCTAAAGAAGTACTCTTGCAATCGTGGAGGGACCTCAAGATTTATCCAGTCCATGAAGGACCTTTTGAGGTGGTCCAGCCCACCATCAAACAGCTCTTGCCACCCCCAAATTCTTGCTAATATTTATCCTTTCTTGTCATTTGATTCGAGAGCAGCAGAAAACAAGCTGGCTCCATCTTCCATGTGAAAGCCCTTCAGGAATCTGAAGATGGCTCCCATTTCCTTCAATTGGATTTGTCTGCCCTAAATCTCACTGGCTTTAGTAAAGGTAAAGGGACCCCTGACCATTAGGTCCAGTCATGGCCGACTCTGGGGTTGCAGCGCTCATCTCGCTTTATTGGCCAAGGGAGCCGGCGTACAGCTTCCAGGTCATGTGGCCAGCATGACTAAGCCGCTTCTGGTGAACCAGAGCAGCGCACGGAAATGCCGTTTACCTTCCCGCCGGAGTGGTACCTATTTATCTACTTGCACTTTGACGTGCTTTCGAACTGCTAGATTGGCAGGAGCAGGGACTGAGCAACAGGAGCTCACCCCGTCGCGGGGATTCGAACCGCCGACCTTCTGATCAGCAAGTCCTAGGCTCTGTGGTTTAACCCACAGCGCCACCCGCGTCCCTTATTATACCAAATTGCAGTTGCTGCTGCAAGCATCAGATGATGTCCCTACCCCAAAGAAAACAAAGAGGAGGCTCGTCCCGCAGTCAATGGCAAGCCCCCGCTTCGCCACACGAACTCACCCAGAGATAGCCTTGTGGCAGAGAAGTGCTGACAGCAGAGAAACCCAGCAAGGAAGAATGGACCGGGCTGTGGACGGCGGCACCAAGCTGAAGAGAGGATGAAAAAAGGGGGGGAACAATTAGGAACACACAAAGTTGCCTTCTTCCGAGTCAGTTCATGGGTCCAGCTAGCTTCATACAGACTAGACTGGGCCTCCAATCCAGAGTTTCAGGCCAGAGAGCCCTGGAGATGGGACCATGCAATAATATTTTTAATAATAACAACAAGAATCAAATAAAGGCTGAATGAATGAATGAATAATACTGAACTACATGGTCCAGGGCATAAGGCATCCTATGATTATGTACGGCTCAAAGCTCACAAAGGAAATTCTAATAATAATAATAATAATAATACAGTCGTACCTTGGTTCTCAAACGTAATCCATTCCGGAAGTCCATTCGACTTCCGAAAATGTTTGAAAACCATGGCGCGGCTTCTGATTGGCTGCAGGAGCTTCCTGCACTCAATGGGAATCCATGGAAACTGTCTCAGACGTTTGGCTTCCAAAAAACGGTTGCACACTGGAACACTCACTTCCAGGTTTGCGACGTTCGGGAGCCAAAATGTTCAAGAACGAAGCTGCTTGAAAACCAAGGTACCATTGTAATAATAATAATAATAATAATAATAATAATGCTATTATTTGTACCCAGCCCATCTGACTATATTGCTCCAACCATTCTGGGTAGTTTCCAAAATATATAAAAACATAGTAAGACATTCAACATTAAAAGTCCCTATACAGAGCTGCCTTCAGATGTCTTCTAAAGGTTGTCTAGTTACTGATCTTGACATCCAATGGGAGGGTGTTCCACAGGATTAATAATAAAAAAATGATAATTTATTCAGGATTACTTCCAACTAACAACAACAACAACATGTTATTTATACCCCACCCAACTGGCTGGGCTTCCCGAGCCACTCTGGGATTTCTCAACAGAATATTAAAAACATGTTAAACATCAAACATTAAAAATTTCCCTAAACAGGGTTGCCTTCACATGTCTTCTAAAAGTCAGATAGTTGTTTATTTTCTTGACATCTGATGGGAGGGCGTTCCACAGGACAGGGGCCACTACCGAGAAGGCCCTCTGCCTGGTTCCCTGTAACCTCACTTCTCGCAGTGAAGCTGGACCTCAGTGTCTGGGCTGAACGATGGGGGTGGAGACGCTCCTTCAGATATACTGGACCGAAGCTGTTTAGGGCTTTAAAGGTCAGCACCAACACTTTGTATTGTGCTCGGAAACGTACTGGGAGCCAATGTAGGTCTTTCAGGTCCCGGCAGTCACTCCCAGCCGTCACCAGTCTAGCTGCCACATTCTGGATTAATTGCAGTTTTCGAGTCACCTTCAAAGGTTGCCCGACACTGAGCGCATTGCAGTAGTCCAAGCAGGCGATAACTGTTCAGGGAAGTTTTTAATGTGTGACATTTTAATGTATTTTTAAACTTTGTTGGAAGCTGCCAAGAGGGGCTGGGGAAGCCCAGCCAGATGGGCGGGGTACAAATAATAAATTATTATTATTATAGAGGATGCACCACTCTGGCGAGACAGTCTGCAGGCAAGTAGGGTCTCATCCTGCGTACCAGATGGAGCTGGTAGACAGCCGCTCTGGACACAGAATTAACCTGCGCCTCTATGGACAGCTGTGAGTCCAAAATGACTCCCAGGCTGCGCACCTGGTCCTTCAGGGGCACAGTTACCCCATTCAGGACCAGGGAGTCCTCCACACCAGCCTGTCCCCCGTCCCCCCAAAAACAGTACTTCTCTCGTCAGGATTCAGCCTCAATCTGTTAGCCGCCATCCATCCTCCAAGTGCCTCCAGACTCCTATCATTCAATTTAGACCAGGCATAGGCAAACTCGCCCTCCAGATGTTTTGGGACTATAATTCCCATCATCCCTGACCACTGGTCCTGTTAGCTAGGGATCATGGGAGTTGTAGTCCCAAAACATCTGGTGGGCCGAGTTTGCCTACGCCTGGATTAGACTATGAAATAGCTAAGCTTTGCAACAAGAGTTAAGCTCCGCCGTGGGGCGCATGAGTCGATTTCCCCTCAACCTAGAAAAAAAGGGGGGGGGAATCCAAAACTTTCCATGTTCCCTCCCCAAAAAGAGAGCACAGCTGTCTTTCACCAGAGGTGAAATTCAGGGATCCCTTTGAAACCAAAGGACACACTTTACACTGGTTTTTTTAAAGGCCCCCTAAGCTGTCCCAGATCCTCTAGGGTACAGGAGGAAAGGACATGTTGGAGTCAAAGGAGCTTTGTGGATTAATCATAATATATGTATCCAGACGCCGTGCCTCCCCCACCCCCCCGTTCCAGCTGCTTGCCTTCATCATATTTTTTTCCCCGAGCCGGGTGGTTGCATTGAAACCATAGATCATCAAAAGAAGTAAAATCTGAAGCCAGCCTGATGGAATAAAGCTTTGGCAAAGAAAGAGAAGCGTTGCGGGTGGGGGACGACGACTCTTCGCCGTCCCCGGAGGAAATCTCCCCGGCATTTGGTCTAATTAGACAAAACGGCAGCCAGGCCTTCAGGAGAGAGAGAACACACACACACACACACAAAACCACAAACACACACACACACAGAAAGAGAGAAGCCACCACTGACACACACACACACAGCTGTTCCCTCTAGAACTGGAGGGGTGGGGTTGAGATGGATGCAACCAGTGGCCAGGAAACTTCTGCATTCGCCGCTAATTGGATTTTTTTGGGGAGGGGGGTGACATTGAGAAGCCCTCTGCAGCACTAACGATGGGAAGCAGATTTCCTCCGGTTCTTAAAAGAGGAAAGGATTGCTTTATTGGATGCAAGGAGAGAAGGTAGTTCAGGAGCAGAGCCCATGTTTTGAACAAAAACAAGGTACCGGGTTCAAATCCCGCAGGCAGCATCCAGGGGGAGGACCCGAACCGGTGGGTTCAAACGATGGGAAAGGAGTTCGATTAAACGTTAGGAATAATTTTCTGAGTGCAAGAGCTGTTTGATGGTGAGACAGACTCCTTCGGAAGGTGGCGGCGTCTCCTTCAGCGCAGGTTTCTAAGCAGATGCTGGGTGGCCACTTGTCTGGGATTCTTCAGCACTGCAGGGGGTTGGGCTGGATGACCTTTGGGTACCACTTCAAACTCTACCATTCTGATTCTATCGCCAGGTAGGGCAGAGACAGACACACACACACACACCCCGCCTGGAACTCCGGAAGGGTTCACTCTGCAAGGCACCGAAGGGAAAGGATTGCTTGACGGCATAGGAAACGGAGGAAGCTGCCTTCTACAGAGTCAGACCCTTGCTCCATCTAACTCCATATTGCCTGCACTGACTGGCAGCGATGGCTCTCCAGGGTTTCAGGCAGGGAGCTGTTTCCCAGCCCTGCCTGGAGACGCCACCAGCGGGGATGGAGCCGGGGGCCTTCTGCATGCCAGGCATGCCTCGAAAGATTCCATCAACGGCGTCTCCGGAAAATTTTACACATCACTTGGGAAGACAGGCGAACTAAAACCAGTGTACTGGAAGAAGCAAAGATCACCAGTGTGGAAGCAATGATTCTTCAACATCAACCTGGTTGGACCGGTCATGTTGTGGATGCCTGATTATTGTCTTCCAAAGCAACTGCTCTATTCCCAACTTAAGAATGGAAAGTGTAGTGCTGGTGGTCAACAAAAGAGATTTAAAGACTCTCTCAAGGCAAATCTTAAAAAAAATTCCTCCCAGTAGTACCGTAGAGACCAGCTAAGTTAGTTCTTGGTATGAGCTTTCGTGTGCATGCACACTTCTTCAGATACACTGAAACAGAAGTCACCAGACCCTTATATGTATATAGTGAGAGGGTGGGGAGGAGTATTACTCAGAAGGGTGGTGGGAATGGGTAATTGGCTGATAGGTGTGGTAAACCAGTTGATGACTGTTAACGACTGCAATTGGTCTTACAGGAAAAAGCAAGGGATGAGATGGCCAAAAATAGCTTTATCAGACCAGGTCTCTCCATGGTTTTAAGTTTGGTAATAAACAGTAAATTCTTATCTCATTATACATGATGAAGCTATTTTTGTTTCACTCAGCCTTTTATCTAGAACCCTGAGGACTAGAAACTCAACTTTATATTTGGGGCCGGGCGATATCTGGTTTTCAACCAGCTAAGACTTCACGATACACTGATATATCACAATGTCTGAAATAAGGATGGAACTGATACGGAAGGAGAGGGGGGGGGCAACCATCTTCCCCTCCATCGCTTCCCGAATGGGCCCGAGGCGATGACCTCGACAGTGCCCAACTCGGCCCAGAACCCTCATCCCCCACACCGTTGCACAAGCACCACACTATACCCCTGCCTTGATAATAAAAGGCTCCTTTTCCTGTCTCTATACGGGCGAAATAAGCCCAGATCTCTCCTATGCCTTCCTCTCGCTCTATCCTTAACGTGAGTAGACCGCATCATAATGGAACCCCCATTCGCTATACTGAGCCCCGCTTTAGCCAATCACAGCCATGCATTCGCCCTGCAGAAGCTAGCTCAGGGAGCTACTGCACGCCTCATTTCACTCCTGACAAGCTGCTGACGGCCCCCCCACTGTGAGAACAATGGATCCGAAACCAGAGACCTCGTAAAACTGTCAAAATCCTGTTACAATGTATCCATTCTTGCTACAATATTTCCGTTCTGTTTCCGATCGTGGCCAACGATACTGAATGGGTCGGAAAGCATAGAAATCTTTGGAAATTGATATAAAATCAACCGTAACTCCCATTTCTTTGCTTCTGGTGTCATTCTACTCAGTTCCCTTTCGACTCCATTATGTGACCCCTACCTCCATAATCCCCGAAACGGCGGGTCACGTACACAGGAACTTTCTAATCCTGTCAGATCGTTTCGCCTGACCCTTCCTCCGGGCAATATTAGGTGGCAGACGATGCATATCTCTGGCCCTTTGTCTTGCCACCACCGGTACTTCATAAATGTTTATCTATGTATATCACTCGCTCTGCATATTTCCCCCTCCCTTATCCCAAATGTTAATTAGTGTAACCCCACCTTTCC